AAACCTCTTGGTTTCCCCAGAGGCAACCACAGTTTCTAGTTTTTTACTCATTTTTCAGAAATAAATATTTTATGCACACGCACAAACACACACACACACACACACACACACACACACACGTCCATTTTCACACAAACCAGCGCATTCAGTATAATCTGTTCTGCACCTTCCACTTTATGCATCTTGCTGGTCCTTCCACATCAGTATATACAGATTCCCTGCTCCTTTTTAACAGCCGCAGAGTTTTCTCTCGCCTTTATGACCAGCCTTCATTCCGCCGGTCCCCTAATGAGGGCTATTTCAGTCGTTTCCAGTCCGCTGCTATCACAAACAACGCTGCAATGAATATCTTTATACACGTCTTCGTGCACATGCACAAGCATACCTGCAGAATAAATTCCTAGACATGTGATTGTAAATCAAGGGGTGTCTACATTTCTTACGTTGGTCAATAGTGCCAAATTGCCCTTGAAAAGCGTTGTACCAATTTACACTGCCTGCAGCAATGTCCGAGTGAGCTAAAGTGAGCTCTGGAAAAATGCATACCTGGTTATGTCGCTCCTGACATTAAGCACCCATTCTCAACCCAGGCTGCGTGTTAGAATCACCTGGGGAAATTTCAAAGCAATCCTGTATGTAGGCCCCCAAACCCCAAAGTTGATTTCACTGATGCGGATGTGGCTGAATCATTGGAATTTTTAAAAAGCTCCCCCAGGGTGATGCTAGAAGGTTCCTGAGTAAAGAACCACAGCTTTAATCACCAGTGGCTCCCCTAGGCCCATGTAAAGTCCACAGCTCTCAGCAAGAGAGAGAAATCCATAATTTTTTACTCCCACCTGCCTCTCTGTTCTGCTCTCTTGTTTTGCATACCTGCTGCTCTCCCATCAAGATTTACCCAGGGCCATGCCTTGGGGACCGCTGCTCTGGCCTCACTGGTGAACTGTATATGCAGTGATCCACCGAGCCCACTGCTATACGCTTGCAAGAACCCATCATTAGCATCTCTTCCTTGCTTGGCATTTAAGGGTGTTACATCATTAGCACAAAAGTGGTCATGGCACGAGTATTTACACCACAGTAATTGGCAAATTCTACAATCAGGGCTTTTTTCCCCCTCAGAAAGCCAGTTATTATCATTTAACAGCACACCATTGTTTATTGCCTCTTCTGCTCACTCATGGCACCCTGGGGCCCAGCCACTCGAGTGCTTCTCATCTCTGTAATTTCTTTGTTTTTTTTTTTTAAATTTTATTGGGGAATTGGGGGAGAGGAACAGCGTTGGAGAATCGGGGAAGGGGAACAGATAAGTTGCTGCCCTTTTGTTCTTCAGTCTAGGTGTGGAGGACGTCACTTCACTGGCCCATGTTGGTATTATCATTACATTCTTCCCGAGTGAGGCAGTCGCTTGCTGGCCATTGGACGGCCGCTCACAGAGGCTCATGGCAGCTCACGAAAGCTCACACCCACTGCCGGCCAGCTCCACTGCAGCCTACGCTGTCGCCGGCGACTCACGGCAGCCCAGCTCCAGGTCAACCTGTTGTTCACCATCTTAACTATACAGGGCACAGCATCACTGGCCCTCATGTGGGATCCGAACTGGGGCCCTGCTGCTCAGAGCTGGCATCCCAAGCCAACTCCTAACCAACGAGCCATCGGTCGGCCCTCATCTCTGTAATTTCTAATTGAGCATTTACCAAGTGCCAGGCACTGACATCAGTGCTTCCCATACATTACCTCACTCGCTCCTTACAATAAGGACTATCATTACCATATCTTTGCTGAGGTACACAGAGGAAAGGTGACTTGCCCAAGGTCACAGCCAGTGAGAAATAGCCACAGCAGAGTGGATGCTCAAAAATATTTGTTGCATGTATGGATGGATCTCCTTTTTGGAAGCAGGTGCTGGGAGGCCTGGCTATACAGACAAGGCAAGACCTTTTCCTCGATAAATTGCAATCTCTGATGGCTGCTGTGTGTCCTGCCTGCCCCACCCCCAGTCAAGGCTGTATTGCTGCTGTAGTAAATGTCACACATTTAGCAGTTTAAAACAGCACAAACTTATTATCTTACAATTCTGGACGCCAAACATCCAAAACGGGTCTCACTGGGCTAAAAAGATGTCCAAATCTTAATCCCTGGGACCTGCAAATATTATTTCACGGACATGGCAAAAGGAACATTGCAGGCGGGATTAAGTTAAGGTCCTTAAAATTCAGAGATTATCCTGGATTATCCGGTGGGCTCAATGTAATCACAAGGGTTCTTATAGGAGGGAGGTGGGATGGTCAGAGAAGGAGATGTGAGGACAGAAGCAGAAGGTAGAGTGATGCAGCCACAAACCAAAGAATGTGGGTGGCCCCTAAGAGCTGGAGACAGATTCTCCCCTACAGCCTCCGGCAGGAATGCAGTCCTGGCAAGACACTGGTTTTAGCCCCCTAAGACCCATTTTGGGCTTCTGGCCTCCAGAACTGCGAGATAATACATTTATGTGTTTTGTTACAGCAGCCTTAAGAGACTCATACACGGTTACTTTATCAGAAATACATAGCACGCAGCAGTCCTTCAGAAGAGAGCAAGGATGGGCTAGCATGGACAGGCCTGTATCCCAGACTTCCAGGATGCTGGAAAGGGCCAGTCCCTACGCCCCACCCCCTTCCCTGGTTAGCTGAGGTCAAGTGCGCACAAAAGGGAGGGACACTGGGGGACAGGAAGGAAGTGGCATGAAGCCAAAAGGTGACCGGAACTTTACCCAGCCCTGTGGAAGGACTCAGTGAAGGCCCTGGGGCAGAAGCTGATGGGCCCGGGGACAGGCTAAGGTCAAAGAAAGGTCCTATAGCTTGGGCAAAGTGACAATGCTGACAGAAGACGGTGGGGCTGTAAAAACAGCACTGGACTGTGAGTCCTAACTGAGCCTGGCCCTGCCGTTGACTGGCTCTGGGAGCTCAGACGATTCTACCCCTCCCTCTAGGTCTCGGTTCCTCTATGAGTTATCAGAGGTTTTTACTAGATCGGCACCTCTCGACTTTTCTTTGTAAATACTTTTTAAATGCAGACTCCTTTCTTCCAACAAAATCTTTCTTGTGACTTGAGTCCCACTTAAGGGCTTGATTTGATTATGAAGATTATAACAGCAAGCCCTTAAGTGGGACTTGCTTCACACCAGACACTTTTCTAAGCGCCTTTTAAACGTAAACTAATTTGTTCAATACTCACAACAAATAGGCACGTTCTATAATTTTCATGTCACAAACGAGTGAATTGAGACACAGAGAGGTTAAGAAACATACTGAAGTTCACCGAGGAAGGAAGTGGTCAATTCTTGGTTTGAACTCATGCACTCCAGACCCAAAGAGAACTGAGAGGCAGGGAGACAGGTTGCGGGGAGATTTAGCCAGAGGTTAAGTTGAGATAAATAATAAAGAGCTGGGGGAGAAGGGGAGACAGAGGGAGAGGAGGGAAAAAATACCAGCATGAACTGGAAAGATCATTTTGGCGTCCAGTCAATGAGAGGTGTAGGAGCAGCTGTGAGGAAGGGAAACAGGACTGTAGAGAGGGGCAAAGAAGCGTCTCCATCACTTACAGGTGCCCTGGGGTCTCTTTGAGTGGGCTGAGTGCGGAGACTGGACCTGTGGGGCCTCGGCATTTATTTGGGTTACACTTATAGAGTCACAATGGGAAACCGATTGGAGGAGAGCTGCCATGGTGAGGCGGAGAGCCTCATCTTCATGTCCTCTCCTTTGTCACCCCCCATCCCAGGCCCCTCAATCATTTCTACAGAACCCTCAGGTTTCAAGCAGTACTATTCAAAAACCACCACCCAAGACCACCTCCATGCGATTGGCTTTTCTGCTCCCGCAGGGATTCGTCCCCATAGCTAGCCCAGGCCACGGGAAGCCCACTGACTTCAGCAGCTGCTGCCACCCTGAACTGTGGAAGACCTGAGCTCAGGTCTTCCTCACTTCCAGATCCTCACATCAGAACTCAAAGTCTCTGTTAAGTGCCGATGCCAATCAGCAAGGTGACCTTGAGCACGCCTCTTCCCTAGGCCTCCAGTCCAGACCTCATCTGCAAAACGGAACTAATCATGATGACTCCCTTTTGGAAGCCAAGAGACGGGGCCTCAGAACCTCTTAAGAAAATTAAGAAGAGCCAGTATACATTGAGCACCTACACGAATGGGTGGTTTTGCAATTTCAGCCATCACTGCTTCGGCTCTCCTCACTTGGCCAGTGAGAAAACTGAGGCGCAGAGAGGACAAGTGACCAAACAAGGACACACACAGCAAGGTCGTACAGAGCTAAGGCTGGGCCCCACCACGACCACACCAGCTGAACCCATGGAAGGAACCTTCTCTGTATGTGACCTCCCGAAGCCCCTATCATTTTCCTTTTCTTACAAACGAGGCTCAGAGGTAGTAAGTCACCTGCCCAAGGTCACCCAGACATTCACATTAGAGTTGGGGACCCAAGTGTGTGTGATTCCAGGTTCACACCTCTTCCCGGCCGATCATGCACTGGGAACTCCCACCCAGTGCTGGGAGGCTGGGCTTCTCTGAACCTGTCCCAGGCCCAGGCTGATTCAAAGCAGCATAAGGTTCCTCCTATAGCCTCTACCTGAGCACCTGCCCATTGTCAGCACACCCCGAGGAGCCTCCAGGTTGCCAATGGGGACAGGTAGCTGCAGATTCCCCGGCCCCAAGTTGTCCTTTGCTCCTTCCAAGTTATGTTTCTCTTTGGAGGAGAGGGGAGGATGGCTCTCCTTGCTTTCCAGGCGGTTGGCAGAGCAGCGGCTGCTGCTGCTGCTTGCCGGCTGCCTGGCTGATGGAGAGATTATTTCTAAGCCCTTCCCATTCTCCACCCTCCCCCCTTCTCTTGCAGGACTCCACTGGCTGTCCCTGTGGGACACGGAGCGCAGAGCCCGCGGCTGAAGCAGGACAGCTGGCCTGGCTCACTCCTAGCATGAACCCCTCAGACCCTCACCTCTCATGGGGAAAGGAGCTTCTGGGTCCTTTTGAAAACCCCACCCCACTTCCCCAGGGCTGTTCTGCAGCTGCTGGAGAGAGAGATGCAGAATGAACGGACTTCAGGTTTCTGGAGGAGACAAGGGAAGAAAGGTTGGAAACTAACTCTGCCAGAAACTGATGTGTTCAGGATTTTTCTTTTCTTCCCCTTCGTCTGCACCACAAACCCATCTCTTCTGGGGGCATCACGACATAGGCTCCCCTTGTCTGGCAGAGAAACAGCTGGAAACGGGCTCCCTGAGACAGGAGGGTGAGTTAAACTTCAGGGGAAGAAGTTAGTGTTGGCTAGAGGGGTGGGGGCTTGTTTTCAGGACACTGTGAAACACTCTTGGCCAAAGGGCTGATTTGAGTGACTACCTTTCCCATGCTCTGTGAGGAGCTTTGTGTGTCGGCTGTTTCCAGAGGCAGTGGATTACAAAGTTGGGGTTGTGTAGTGAATGCAGACAGGGCAGTTCTTTGGGTTCTAGAAAGAGCCCCAGGCTGGGAGACCAAGTCCTGGGTTGGGATCGGATTTGTTGTGTGACCTTGGATGAGTCCCTTCAGCTCGCTGGGTCTTGTTTTTTTGCAGTCAGAAAACGAGAACGCTTGGGAAGGATTCCCTGGATTTCAGAATAACTCTTCTCTTTGCAGGCTGCTCATCTTCCTCTGGCCACACATTGTAAACGAAGTAATGCATGCAGAATAACAGAACGCGGTGCGGGGAGCAAGTGTGAAATGCATAGGCTGTGATTCAACTCTTCACTGTCTACCGGAATCCAACTGGCTCTGAAATTGAGAGGAAGTTTTATTTCCATTCAGCTGCCGTGTATTTCTCTTGATTGGAGTGCATCCTGGAATGTAAGGTTATAGAGGTTCTGAAAACAGCTCTGGCGACAATGAATAGCATAGGAAATGGTTGCAGGATGAGAACTATTGTGGAGGTGATTTTTTTTTTTTTAATGCATGGGCTAAATCTAAAACCCGATTGTCAGTCAAGCACCTACACAGGTCTGAAATGGTGAGAGCATTAGAGGCCCCTTCATTTTGCAGATGACAAGACTGAGGCCCAGAGAGGGGAGGTAGCTCGCTCAAGGTCACACAGCAAGGGTGGCTGAGACGAGCACCCAATGAATTTGGAGGAGCGCTGTCATGGATAGTAAAGTCCTCCAAATGAGAAGGCCAACAGGAAGGACGAGGCGACCATTGTGGAGCTGACTCCTAAGAGTTAGATGCCACACTAAGAACGGCCACATTCATGCTTCCTTAACCATTCTGTGCCTCTGTTTCCTCATCTGTAAACTGGAGATGCTAATGTCTACCTCATGAATTTGTTGAGATGAGTTAATATAGGGAAGCATGTACATAGGGTGCCTGGCATATCAGAAGCATTCTTTTTTAAAGATTTTTATTGGGGAATTGGGGGATGGGAACAGCGCTGGGGAATTGGGGGAAGGGGAACAGACAAGTTGCTGTCGTTTTGTTCTTCAGTCCAGTTGTGGAGGACGTTGCTTCACTGGCCCAAGCTGGCACCATCATTGCGCTCTTCCCAGGCAAGGCAGATCAGTCGCCGGCTTCTGGACGGCCGCTCACAGCGGCTGCTGGCCTCTCACGCTGGCTGCTGGCCACACACGGTAGCCCATGGCAACCCACTGCCACAGGGGCTGCAGCCTACGCTATCGCCGGCGACTCACGGCAGCCCAGCTCCAGGTTGAGCTGCTGTGGAGGGCAGTGTCACTGGCCCTCATATGTGGGATCCGAACCGGGGCCCTCTGGCGTCCCAAGCCGGCTCTTAACCAACGTGCCACTCAGCCGGCCCAAGAAGCATTCTTAATATACACTTCATGTATATTACTACATGTAACCTTCACCGTGCCCCATGAGGTGGGCACTCAGACTACACCAGCTGGATGGATGAAGCAAAGGGCTTAGAGAGGCTGAGCAATCCACCTGTGGTGGCAGTCCTTAAGGGGTCAGAACCTGGCAATGCACTTGAGAACCTCTTACACTCTTAAGCTCTATTTGTAGCAACTATGCCTTGCAAGATAGGTACAAGTCTTGTCATGGAATGAACAATGCTGAGCTCAGAGAGGTTAAGGCACATGCCCAAGACCACACAGCCTGGACATGGTACAGCTCTGACTTGCCCAGCATAGGACCAAGGTCGCCAAGTCCCAAATCCACGTAATGCCCTTTCCAAGGAGATGCTTCTGAGATACAAGTATGTGCTCTAGCAGGAAGGGATGGATGGCATTGTCTCATTTTGTTCACTGACAGATCCCAAGTGGGTTAGTAGATGCCCAATAAATCTGTGTTGGCTATAAGATGAAAAGAATGAATAATGCAGAAACAGTTGCAGGAAAGCAAGCATGAGAAAACGTCTGTGACGTTTTTCTAGTCACAGGCTAGGGCGCTCCCCTGAGACTGATGCCTCCCGTTTTCTTGCTCTTTTCCCTTTGGGTACCAGGACGTCTTCGGTGATGCCCATGCCTTCGAGGGTCCGGGGCCTGCATCCCAGACACCATCACTCTCGCTCATGCAGCCCTTTGAGTCAGCTCTTGCCTGGCTCCGTGGAGCCATCGTCCATCAAGGGCCTTTACTACCGCAGGGCCCGGAAGGTAGGTGCGCTGGACGCTTCCCCGACGGCAGACCTGAAGAAGGAGATCCTGGTGAACGTCGGGGGCAGGAGGTACGTCCTTCCCTGGAGCACGCTGGACGAGTTTCCCCTGAGCCGCCTGAGCAAGCTCAAGTTCTGCCGGAGCCACGAGGAGATCGCGCTGCTCTGTGATGACTACGATGAGGACAACCAGGAGTTCTTCTTCGACAGGAGCCCCAGTGCTTTTGGGATGATTGTGAGCTTCCTGGCGGCCGGCAAGCTGGCCCTCCTGCGGGAGATGTGCGTGCTGTCCTTCCAGGAGGAGCTCACCTACTGGGGGATCGAAGAAGCCAACCTGGAGAAGTGCTGCCTACGGAAACTGCTGAAGAAGATGGAGGAGGTGGCCGAGCTGCACAGGGAGGAGGCCCTGCAGCAACAGACGGAGGCGTGCGGCCCCGCCGTGGACCACTCACGCTGTGGACTCTTCATGAACTGTCTGCGGGAAATGGTGGAAAACCCACAGTCGGGGCTGCCCGGGAAGGTCTTTGCCTGTCTGTCCATCCTTTTCGTGGCCACCACGGCAGTCAGCTTGTGCGTCAGCACCATGCCCGACCTGAGGGCCGAGGAGGACAAGGTGAGTGAGTGGCTTTTGACCCGGGTCCATTTCTTCACTGGGCACAGTGTCCTGGGCCCAGGAGACTTAGGGCCCACGATAACATTTGAATATCTTTCTAAACAAGAAGGAAAGAAAAAAGAATATTATCCATTGTGTTCATTTTTAGATCAACGCAGTTGTAAAAGATTAAGTTTTAATATATTTTTTGGAGGAAGAGGCCCACGAAGGCAAGAGTACCCTGGGCTTACGAAAGTCATGAGGTGGCCCTGCCTCTGAGAGTGAATCCTGGACGTTGACAAGCCACCCCGGGTCTTAGCGGGCCAGGCAGGTCTAGCCTCATGGCTCCCGGCTCTGTGACCACCGTCAAATGGCTTCATCTCTTTGAGCCTCAGTTTCCTCCTCCATAAAATGGGTAGCATTTCTGTGACATTTCACATAGTCAATGCCCTCATCACGTGTTCCTTGAACAGCTACTCTGTGCCCTGTACTCTGCCAGACCAGAAATCCCTGCTTCCTTGATTCAGTGTTCAGTGGGCATCCCAGCTCCATTTTCAGATGAAGAAACTTAGGCACACAGGGCATTTAGCCTCCTCCAAGTTACAGAGTCAATATGCTGATGGCAGCAGAGATACAAGGTCCCCAGTTTTCCTGCTTGTTACTTCTCTCCTGAATTTCTCATTCAGTCTCCCTGGATGGGGAAACTGAGAGACAAGTTAAGGTCTAAGTGACTGCCACAGAGCAAAACATTTTCTTGCTTACTCCTGCACTCTCTTTCCAGGGAGCTGTGGGGAGCCTGAGGTCCTCCTTCCCTCCCCCCGAAGGGGGAGGGTCAGATGATCTGAGAAATGAGATAAGAACATAATATTTTATGGGGAAAGTTACTGGAGACCTTCAAATTGAGAACTGGGTGGTTGCTTAATTTGAAATGTTGCTCTTGCCCTGCTCTGTACTCCTCCATGGCTCCCCACCATCCTCACTTACAGAGCTTACATTATTGTAGATGGAGGGAGCCCATCTATACATACACAAGACAGTGCACACTGTAGGTGCTCCATAGCCGCTGTCCGTGCACTCATTCTTTGTTGAATAAAATGTACTTATCCAACCTATAAACGTTTTGTCCTAAAGCAAACCAACCAACATGTTTTGACTTTCAAACAGCTATTTTCCCCTGTGTAAGACTATCAGCTCCAATCATAGGCATTGTTTTTCATTCTTTATCATATCATGTGATTTAAGTTCCTGCTTATTCACAGAAATATTCACATGTGGACACTGCAGTAAAAAGATGAGGGCAAAAATCAGTGGCCTTCGCCCCGACCCCCAAAGGTGCCCTTGATCCCAGTTGCTGAGGAAGAACCCCTGGATTCCCACCAGCCTGTTCCTCTTAGGGATTTCCAGGGAGCCGGGGTTTAGACTGTTCAGAGGGGCAAGGTCTTTTCAATGCTTAATGCTTTGAAAATTACCTAGGGTGTGAACCGAGGCTTGGTTTAATGGAAATTCGGAAAATCTAATTAGAGGTGGGCAAGAAGCCTGCAGAGCCGTGCAGCCCCAAGTCTGAGTAGAGGAATCAGACCTATTCCTGGGATAAGAGGGGTGTCACACCGCCTTTCTGTGGGCTGCCCAGAGAGAAGCTGGGAGGTGTGACCCTCAAAATAAGTGCGTCTACTTCCCTGTGTTGATAATAATAATAATTTAGAGAGCCAAGAGGTTGAGGGCTGGGCTGTCTTTGTTCTTTCTAAGCTGTGTGCTTACATTTACCTAAAAAGGTGGTGTTCTCTTCCCACCACATGTGCCTGGTATTTCATATTTGCCCCCAGGGACATCAGTCTGAAAGCAGTGATTCAGTGAAGCTGGCTGTGGATGCTGGCCACGCTGGTCTTGCTGGGAGGGGTGGGGCCTGAGTTATCCTAAGGGGCCCTGATGGTATCCCCTCAGATGAATTAATGCCACGTGCGGGGACAAACACACCTGGGATGTGACCCACAGAACACAGAAGAGGTGTAACACAGAAGAGGTGTAACGCTGGGTTGGAGAATTAAAAGACATCTGAACAAAGCAGTCTTCCTTTTCCTTTTGCTTCTGACTTCTCACAGCAACACCCCTGGGCGTAAACTTGGCAGTTGGGGTGAAAGGTCTGTGCCCAAGGTTTTAAATTAAAATGGAGGAGGGAGGAGGCAGTCTAGACAGAAAGGACCAAGCCAAGTGCCTAAGCACCTCCCAAAGCATTCAGACCTTGCTGGGTTCCTTGGGGAGGCTCATCCCCGAAGGGATAAAAGAACGATACTTATTATGCGTCCCTCACGATGAGGCTGGCATTTGACAGAACAGGTGGAATCCTTGCAGCAGCTTTGGAATTAGATGCTATGGCTACACCCATTTTACAAACTAGGAAACTGAGGCTCAGGGATGTTTGATCAGTTTCTTAAGCTCACCATTAGTAAGTGGCAGAGCCAGGATTTACGCTCACCTCAGCTTGGCTCTAAAACTGTCTTCCAACGTGGGGCCACTCTACATGTAGTCCAGACCCTCGGCCTTGGTGGCCCTTCGCATTTCCGAGGCAGCCGGACTTTATGAAGTGCTTCTCTGTCCAGCATGATGGTTCAGACTGCAGACGCTCTGGGTTTGAATCTTGGCTTAGCCCCGTTATGAACTCATTGAGCTCAGGAAAGTCAACCTCTTTGAGCCTCAGTTTCCTCATTTGTAAAATAGGGATGGTAGTTGCCCTTTTCTCAAGGGCTACGGTGAGGATTAAATGAGTAATTTGTGTTTAGCAATTGGAACAATGCTAGTGTATAAGAAGTGCTCAATAAATGGTAATTGTCATTATCATCATCACTATTCATGTATTAGGCACTAGTTAACAGGAAATCATAACCTTTATTCATTCAACAACAGTTATTGAGTGCGTGCTAAGTACATTTTTCTAGGCGCTGCAGACTAGAGAAAACAAATTTCTTACTTTTTCTGGAGCTTCTATTCCAAGCATTCCTGCTTCATTTTTTTTTAATCGAGGTGAAATTCACCTAACATAAAATTAACCATCGTAAAGCGAACAGTTAATTAATTCAGTGGCATTGAGTACATTTACAATGTTGCGGAGCCAACACCTCTTTCAAGTTCCAAAGCATTTCCACCTCTCCAAAATAAAACCCATACTCATAGACAATCGGTCCCCATCCCTCTCCCCATGCCCCAGCCCCTGGCAACCACCAGTCTGCTTTCTGTCTTCATGAATTTCCCTATTCCAGACATTTCATATAAATGGAATCATACACTAGGTGGCCTTTTGTGACTGGCTTCTTTCACTCAGTATAATGTTTTCAAGGTTCGTCCATGTTGTGGCGTGTGTCAGCACCCCATTCCTTTTTGCGGCTGAGTAATATTCCACTATCTGATGTGCCACAGTTTGTTTACCAATCCATCTGGTGATGAATGCTGCAGTTTCTTAGGTTCTTCGCTTCCCTCTGCTCAAGTCCTCTCTCAAGATTGTCAACCCTGCCGTTTATCCCTAGTACCCTTCCCCGTGGCCTCAGCCCTTGCCAGGCAGCCCTGATGGTCAGAGCGTTTTTTGTCTCTCTGGGGGAGGCTGCAGGTCACTGCCAGCTGCGGCTGCACACTTACTCCTCCCCCTTCTCCCTCTTTCCTGCTACAGAAAGATATCCCAACGGCTGCAGACAGGCAGTACCTCATCATAGAAAGGAGCCAGAATCTGTGTTTGCCAGTCCTGGGTTCGAATCCCAGCTCTGGCACTCCCTGGCTCTGCCCTTGGACGAGTCACTCTAGTTCTCTGTGGCTCTGTTTCCTCACCCTACTCAGAGGGTTGAATGATCCTATCTATCATGTGCCGACACAGCGAACACAGACTGGTTTTACCCATCCTTTGGGACTCAGCTCACACGCCTTCCACCTAACGCATCTGTTTTGCTCAACTTCTCTCCCAGTGCTATGAGACCCAAATGGCAGCGGCCAAGTCAGTGGCCAGTTGGCTCAAATGTCTTCTCTGTCCATTTGCAGTGCCCATCCTCATCCTTCATTCGCTCATGCATTCAACAGACCTTCCCTGAGGGCCTCCTCTGTGCTGGGGACCCAGTGGGGACAAAGTCCAGGCACAAACCCAGCAGCCATTTCTCTTTCCATCTTAGATTCTATTCCTGCCCCAGAGGTTTGCTCAATGCACACGCCGGACCGCTGCTGTGCACAGGGCCCGAGGTGGTCACGGAAACGTGGGGGCTTGGGGTGGGACAGTGGGCTCTGCTTCTCACTGACCCTCACATCCTGTACTATGGCTTCAGCATCTCTCTAAGGTGCAGGGGCTGGGGATAAAGGAGGACACACAGAGATTTTTTAAAAGACCGGGTGGAACTATTGGGAGCCCCTTGATGGAACAATGCCTTCCTCATGGGGGTGCAATTCACCTTTTGGGTTGCAATTTCCACCTCCCTGCCTTTAATACAAAGCCAGAGGCTGGAGCCAGCCTCCCCTCTTCCCCATCCCTTTCTTGGATCATGAATCGGCTCCATAAAGAAATGCCTGCTCTCTGTAGCCTCTCTGTGTTCGGTGACATTGGGTAATAGCTCCAGAGAATTCTTCTTAACCTGTTTGTTTGTTTGCTTATTTGTTTGTTTTTGGGTTTTCTTCTTCCCAGCTGAGTCTCTCTATGTTCTGGCCAACAAGCAGTATTCCCCATTCCCTGGGCGGGGCCCACCTTTCCTGAGTCTGTGCTGTTTCTCCTGCCTAGTCTCCTAGCCTCCATCTGCTTGGCTCCACACACTCTCCAAGCCCCGGTGTCCCAGGGTTGGGGAGTCAGGGGAGCTGAGAGGAGGGAGTATAGGGGAGAGGGGGGCCTGGGAAGAAGGGAGTATCGCTCAAGGTGAGGGGGGAACAGGGAGAGGGTTGTGGAAGGGGCGTAAAGGAGGGTAGAGAGATGGCAGAGAGGAAGGGAGAAGCCAGGGACAGGAATGAGTCAGCAGGGCCAGGCCCTGAAGAGTCTCAGAGGAAACAGCCTGGACCTGAGGCCAGAGCCAGAGGCACGAATGGGGGAAATCATAGGCAGCGGGGAGGGAGGGAGGGAGAGAGGCCCCAGCTGCTGAACGGAGCAGTGCAACTAGCACTGAGCTAAAGAGGAGGTGAGAAGTGGCTGAATCTGGCCATATTCCCAAGAGGGAGCTGGCAGGCATTGACGTGAGCGACAGGAGGGTGCAAGGAAAGCTCTGAGGTCAAGAACTCAGGCCTGAATCCCTCCCCGATGGAACTCCTAGGACTGTCCCTCACTGAACCTCCCGCAGTCTGCTGGGGGCAACCTGTCCAGATGGACCCGCAGGGATGGTGGCCTTGCCCTGGGCAAGGCCCGCCCGCCCTCTGACCCCAGAGCCCTTCAGAGCAGCTCTGCTCCGGAGCTTTGGGGAAGGAGTTGGGGCAGAGCTGCAGGACCACATTCACTGCCTCCTCACCCAGGACTGACCGGGCGCCGTCGGACTCAGCATCGGTTTCTTTTTTATTAAGATGTAATTCATACACTATAATACTCACCCCCTTAAAGTACACAAATCAGTGGGTTTTAGTATAGAGTTGTGCAACCATCACCATCATCTAATTTGAGAACATTTTCATCACCCCCAAAAGAAACCTTACGCACACTACTAGCTACTCCCCG